CTATTACAGTAAAAGACACATTGCCATTAATCCCCACAAAATACTCCCCCTCGCTTCAAACACACTTATCCCATCATTCTTGCCACTTTCTGAAGCAGTTCTGGAAGTCATTTTTGTGAGTGTCTTTAGTTGTGCTGTCATGGCTGCCTCAATGTCCTGAATCAATTCAAAATGTTTTTCTTTCATGGTCATTTTGACTCTAAGAAAAAGCCAGATGTTGCACGGTGCCAGATCGGGTGAATAAGGTAGATGAGGACACACTGTAAAGTTTTTATTTGACAGAAATTGCCATATACTAGAGGCGACATGTGACACGGAGCATTGTCTTGATGGAGGATGATTTACGGCATACTTGAAAACACACCTCTCAATTGTAGTTCACACCCAACTACTGTACAAACAAGTTGAAATTTGTCACACACTGTTACTAAGGTTAGACACACCACTTCCCATATTGAAGATCCCTGTCTTTCCAGTCACCGTATTTTGTGATCACAACAGAAAGGCTCTGTGTCACACATCACTTCTGGTATGGCAATTTCTGTCAAATAAAAACATTGTAGTGTGTCCTCATCCACTTTATTCACCATTATCTCACACCATGTGACCCCCAAAGTAAAAATGACCATGAAAGGTGAACGTTTTGAATCAATTCAGGACATCGAGGCAGCCACGCCAGCACAACTAAAGACACTCATGAAAGAGGACTTCTAGAACTGCTTCAGAAAGTGGCAAGAACGATGGAATAAGTGTGTTTGAAGCGAGGGGGAGTATTTTGTGGAGGTTTAATGGCAATGTGTCTTTTACCGTAATAATTTTTTTAAATTTAAACATTCACTGTATTTTGTGATCACACCTTGTATATCACTAGTGCTAAAGAAATCTGATTTAAATCTTCTAAACCTTCACTATTAAATACCGTCATATATGGCTAAGCACAAAGTTTGAATCAAAATTCATCAAAACAAAATAAAATTAACAATTCATTTCTTTGGTTAGACTAATTGTGATTAGTCTAACCACCATTCAAGTGCTCACTAGTCACATGTAACTAATGGCTAAGATACTGGAAAGTACAGATATAGAATGCTCCCATCACCACAAAAATTTCTATTGAACAGCACTGCTCTAGAAAAATTTGCCAATAAATATCAAAAATCTTAAAAATACATTTACTCCAGTGGTTTCTGGTCAAGATGGCAGAGTAAGTAAACACTGTGTTTACTTTCTCTCATGACCACATCAAAATTACAACTAAACTACGGAACAACCATTACTGAGAACTGCCTGAAGTGTAGCTGAACCAAAGCCTTACAACTAAAGACAGAAAGAAGCAGCCACATCAAGACTGGTAGTAGGGGCAGACACACAGAATAGGCTGGCCCCACACCCTCGTGTGACCATTAAAAATCGAGAAGTATACATTGGCTGCAAATATCACAGCTGGAGGAACGAGGGGACTCAGTCAACCATCAGATTTCCCAATCCAGGGTTCTAGTGCCTAGTAAAGAAGTCCTGATAACTTCCGGCTGTGAAAATCAGCAGAGATTGTGGTTGAGTGAGACGAGGGTGGCTGGAGTCTCAGAAGCTACTCTTAAAGGGCCCGCACACAGACTTAATCGCTGATGGACTCATTCATTCTGAGCTCCAGCGCTGGGGCAGAAGCTCAAAAGGTAGCAAGGACATAGTGGATAACTAAGTTGTCTGGCTTCAGGGCAAGGGCTGGAGGGGCAGCTTTCTCCCAGACAGAGGAGCTGGTGGAAACCACTGTTTCTTTTTTTGAGCCTTTCCCCTCCCAGCATGCACATGCAGGCAGCCACCATATCTGAGTCTCTATCAACCTGGCTAACACTGTTTCTTCCCCTGTCATGGTGATTCCCAGAGACCCTGCCCCACTTGATTTTGGGGCACACCCAAGCCACTTCCAGTGGCTTTTCTCAACAAATGGCCTGTCCTGGGTCATGCATCAGACTTTCCTAAAATCTTTCAAAGATTCACAAAACCCAAACAAGCAGCATCTGGCTTCAGAGTACCCGGTACTGCTGGCTAAGCAGCCCTAAGCCCAGCACTAGTGACAGCCAGCCTCACTCTGCAGTTCGGCCTCTCGAGGCACCTCCAAGCCCAGTGTGGGCAAGGACCATCTGCAGATTGCTTTGTGGCTCATACCAAGTGGCCCCAGGCAAGGGACAGGCTGCAGCTGAACTTGGTCTCCTCCCAGGAGGCCCTGGGATGGGCATACCCAGTGGCCAGCTTCGGGCCAAGCTGGAGCATCGTCTAGCCACCTCTAAGGAGGACACACCAAAAGGGCAGACTGGGCAGACACCAGAGCCCTCTAAAGCGAATCCTGCTCTGTAGGCTCAGCCCCTGCACCACAGCTCCTCCACTGTAGTCACAGCCAGTCCTCACAACCAATAAGCCTGAGGGTCAATCCCTCCTGCTCACTTGCAAACAGCAACCAAAGCTCAACCACAACAGGAGGGCACA